CAGCAACCCCTCGGAGAAATCTAGACAATCTCCTGAGGACTAGGAGGAGGAGGCAACTCCAACTCCGCCAGGAAAGTCTTGGCCCACCTATAGGACACCGAACACCTGAAGAGCTATTATTAATAGCGGGTACAAGCTAGTGGCTCTCATTTTATCTGTCATTTATTGTTTCAGTTGATTTATTATGTTATTTATTATTTTATGAAATAAAACTCTACGAAAATTATTGTGTCTAGAACTGTCTTACTTTTATTTCATAAAATTTGCAAACAACTTATAAAAGTTAGAATATGACCTAACAATAAGACAGACAAAAAGACAAAAGTCATCATACTCTCAACGATTAGTCACTGTTCTCCGAGCCACTATCATTATGGCTCTCCCCATCACCATCTACCCTGTAGTGCCTCATATAGGACGAAGCCAAAGAACTCAATAGTAGAGAAAGTTGTCAAGCTCTTCATAACCATTAATAAAGGCACCTGCAATAGCTCTCTCAATAGCCTCCCTCCTCATCTCCATATCAATTGAATGAAACTCTGCCACGGCAGCCATGTCCTGAGCTATACATAGCTCAACCTCAGCTCTTGCGGTCCTCTCACCGAACATTTGCAGCTATGACTCTGTTTTCGCGCAGGTAGTTTCCTTATAAGCCTCTGTTACGGCAGTCATCTCCTGAGCTATACATAGCTCTGCCTCAACTCCTATGGCCCTCTCACGGGACGTTTTCATCTGTGAATGTTCTCGAGCACATAGTCTCCTTAAAAGCCTCTGTCACGACAACCATCTTCTGAGCTATACGTAGCTCGGCCTCAGCTCCTACGGCCCTCTCACGAGACGTTTGCAGCTCTGACTCTACTCTCGCGCAGGTAGTCACCTTATAAGTCTTTGCCACGCAGCCTTCTCCCGAGCTATACGTAGCTCAGCCTCCAGCTTTGCGGCCCTCTCATAGGATGTCCACATCTCTGACTCTGCTCTCACATAAACAGTCTTTTTATCAATCTCTAGCTTCCCGGCCCTCTCATAGGATGCCAAAAAGCTCAGTCTCAAGAGGCACAACTCTCTCATGAGCAAGCCTCAACTGCTCCTCAATAGTCTCTCGAAGCCCGCCTCTCTGTTACTAGATGTATGAATGCCTCCCCAAGCTTTAATGTCCTTGAAAAAGGTTGGGTGCATTCAAAAAGGAAAAATGTGAAGGAAAGGAGGCGGGTACAAAATCAAAGTTGATAATGCCCTCTAGACCTCGAGATCCAATTTCTCTGATATCCCAAGGACTCACGGACCCCCAAAGTCGCTCTTTGACCAAGTCAAAGCATTGACACCGAGCTACTACTAGAAGCATGATAGCTATGTGGAGCTACAGTCTCTGTAAAAGACCGCATTGGAGTCTCAACTCCTACAACGGTACAAGGGCTAGTTTTGGTACACACAAGAGTCACAGTCTGAGAAGGAATGAGAGCACCACCGAGTCCCATCTCCTAGGAAATAACTTAGCCATCGGACCTTGACTGAGAAGCACTGGGGGCATCAAACTCCGCCCTCTTGGGAGGAGGGGAAGACACCACCTTAAAAGTATAAAGAGCCTCCACCATCTCCTTATCAATAAGGCGCCTGTAATTAGAGACAAGGTCAGTGTAAAGAACCAGAATTGAGAAAATATTAAGGAGAAAGTAGGATTGAAGAAAACAGGTTCATCTCTTGCCTAGTCAAAAGTCATCATAGCCTTCCTCTCTGGCAAAAACACAGAATGTCAATCCGTCGCCCATGAATGTCTTACAACTACTTGTCAGAATGCAACTTCCCACCATTATCAATTTCACTAATTTGTGTTTTAAACTCAAATTCAGAGAGATAGAAGCATTTTTTGAAAGAAATTGTTGACCAAATGGCCTTTGGCGGTTTGTATGTCGTAGATCTCAAAAAAAATACCCGAATTAAAAAAAATCGCCTCAAATGAACAACCGAGCACAAAGTTATGGTCGTTCAAAATTTTACCCTTTTTCATAATTTTCTGATACTCCAGCCAGCGCCCAGCCTCCTTTTGGCGCCGCCCAAACTAGCACACCTGGCGTCGCCTAGCCTGGCGCCCAGCTCTCCTTCTGGCCCAAAGTCGCCTACCCAACACTCGCCTCTAGTCTGCCTGACAGCGCCCACGCACCCTAAGCCACCAAGGGCGTCGCCCTCCACCATACCCAGACCACGACGTTGTCTAGACATTCCTGGACACAGCCCACATGCTCCAGCCCATGCACTGCCTAACTTAGGCGCCGCCCACATGCTCTAGCCTAAGCCCAGGTTTACGCCAGCGATTACCACCCTAGTGCCTAGCCTAACACCTCCCACTTGCTCCATCTGCATCGCCCATTGCACACTGCCTAGTGGCCTCGCCCATTGCACAACAGCATCGCCACATCCCACCTTGGAGAAGGCAACACCTAGCTCCTTGTTGGCGCTGCCCAACACTTGGGTCGACGCACCGAACTGTCGGGTCTCTCCAATGGCACCACCTGACTTGCCTTGAGCCACCTCTCTCCTCTCCATTAAGGAGCCTCCACCTGGGACATCATTTGATTAAAGCCCTCTTCACTGAATCCCTCCTCACTTTCTATGGAGGTGTACTACAGATGGGGAACGAATTTTTACATATAAAAATGGAGAGTCGAAGAAATCACAACTGTGGAGAAGAAGAAACCTATCTGTCCAAGCTCACTCATGCCCTCAAAATCTTTGACACAACAAGAGTTTTGGGGCATGGGGGCAAATGACAAACTCAGATCTAATTGGGCCAAACCCAGAAAATCAGGCAAGCCCAAATCAGATAAAAGGCAGCCCAAGCCCGCTTTATCAATCTGACTCAATTCAAGATCCAAAGAGTCCGAGAAGATAAGAATACGCGGGAGAGAAACCATCAGGATACACACTCACGAAGATTAATCCTACTTTAATTGTATTTATCTTTTGTAACTATTCTCCCCAAAAAAGTAGTACTCTCACTTATGTCACCGCTTTACCATACCTATAAATTGTAAGTTCTCTCCACATGAAGAAGCATCTATCAACACACCTCTCTACACACATAGCTTATCTCTCCTAGCATTGTATCTCTCCCAAAGTATAAATCTCAGGAAGCTCTCTATCTCTATTACTTTATTCATCAATAAAAACCCTCAATCACTACCGTTTTTTAAAAATGGAGTAGGTCACTCGGACCGAACCACTATATATTTATGTGTTGACTCAATATTTACGTTATTGCTATTGATTACTTTATTTATTGTTCATTAATTACTCCTCATCACACACTCAACTGTTAGTCTTACACAAGACAATTTTGTGCATCATCTGTTAACATTATAAATAACTAGAACCTTACTCATAACATCTCACGGAGGTGCATAACGTCAAAGAATAGTTAACGAAAAACCCGCCACCATGAATTATAGGTGAAGTCATGTAAAGGTTTTATTCTCATCCTTGATAATAATAAAAAAAAGAGTGACATAAGATGCATGTAATCTGCAATGTTGGTATTTATTCCTATATTAAGAATAAGTGAAACGTCTAAGAACACCAAACTCTTCAACATGAATAAGCTTCATTTTATTCATAGCTGTAATCAAGTACACAGTGAAGAGTAAGCAAAAGTGTTGAGAAACTAGCTGATCATCTACACATATCACAGATTTACAACTTGTGCCTTCACAAATCTAGTTTGCTCATTTGGGGCACTGCATAAAATTCAGATTTCAGCGCCGGGCGCTCTGAAGTAGCCTCAGGACACATGGAAGGGGCATTGTCTATCGCCGTGGCTCCAGATATAGCACTATGTTGACATCCAAAGCATTGAAAAATGACACATATAAGCTTAGCCCTGCCTTCCCTGTTGCAGCAACATCCAAAGAGATCAATGATAATAAAATTTACAAGAAGAGACACATCCCAAGATATCACTTACAATGAACCAGTAAAAGCAGTTAGCACTTCAAGCCAAACGATCGGAGCATGATCTTCATCCATTGACATCATCCTCCGCTTCATGCTGCTTCCCAAATTTGCTCAGTGCAAGAGAATATACTGTTTTCCTTCTCATAGACGTTCCAGCAGCCACCAGTTTGACCGCCTATATGCACATAAATGTTGTTATGACCGCCAAGTAGTCATGCCCTCAACGCTTACTTACACTTTNCAAACTCAGATCTAATTGGGCCAAACCCAGAAAATCAGGCAAGCCCAAATCAGATAAAAGGCAGCCCAAGCCCGCTTTATCAATCTGACTCAATTCAAGATCCAAAGAGTCCGAGAAGATAAGAATACGCGGGAGAGAAACCATCAGGATACACACTCACGAAGATTAATCCTACTTTAATTGTATTTATCTTTTGTAACTATTCTCCCCAAAAAAGTAGTACTCTCACTTATGTCACCGCTTTACCATACCTATAAATTGTAAGTTCTCTCCACATGAAGAAGCATCTATCAACACACCTCTCTACACACATAGCTTATCTCTCCTAGCATTGTATCTCTCCCAAAGTATAAATCTCAGGAAGCTCTCTATCTCTATTACTTTATTCATCAATAAAAACCCTCAATCACTACCGTTTTTTAAAAATGGAGTAGGTCACTCGGACCGAACCACTATATATTTATGTGTTGACTCAATATTTACGTTATTGCTATTGATTACTTTATTTATTGTTCATTAATTACTCCTCATCACACACTCAACTGTTAGTCTTACACAAGACAATTTTGTGCATCATCTGTTAACATTATAAATAACTAGAACCTTACTCATAACATCTCACGGAGGTGCATAACGTCAAAGAATAGTTAACGAAAAACCCGCCACCATGAATTATAGGTGAAGTCATGTAAAGGTTTTATTCTCATCCTTGATAATAATAAAAAAAAGAGTGACATAAGATGCATGTAATCTGCAATGTTGGTATTTATTCCTATATTAAGAATAAGTGAAACGTCTAAGAACACCAAACTCTTCAACATGAATAAGCTTCATTTTATTCATAGCTGTAATCAAGTACACAGTGAAGAGTAAGCAAAAGTGTTGAGAAACTAGCTGATCATCTACACATATCACAGATTTACAACTTGTGCCTTCACAAATCTAGTTTGCTCATTTGGGGCACTGCATAAAATTCAGATTTCAGCGCCGGGCGCTCTGAAGTAGCCTCAGGACACATGGAAGGGGCATTGTCTATCGCCGTGGCTCCAGATATAGCACTATGTTGACATCCAAAGCATTGAAAAATGACACATATAAGCTTAGCCCTGCCTTCCCTGTTGCAGCAACATCCAAAGAGATCAATGATAATAAAATTTACAAGAAGAGACACATCCCAAGATATCACTTACAATGAACCAGTAAAAGCAGTTAGCACTTCAAGCCAAACGATCGGAGCATGATCTTCATCCATTGACATCATCCTCCGCTTCATGCTGCTTCCCAAATTTGCTCAGTGCAAGAGAATATACTGTTTTCCTTCTCATAGACGTTCCAGCAGCCACCAGTTTGACCGCCTATATGCACATAAATGTTGTTATGACCGCCAAGTAGTCATGCCCTCAACGCTTACTTACACTTTTGAATCACAGAAGAGCATAAGACAGATACGAAGCCCCACTACTGCCATAGAAATATATCCAAGCTACAAATTTGCTTTTGAAAAGCCTAGCCCACTACAGAACAACTATTCATTGACTAAATACTTTCATCAGGCGCTCTGTTGTCTATCATTCTGGATATCAGACAACATTATTGTTGATACTTCTGTTGCACTGTAATTGTTTCTATCTATAGCATTTTAGAAAAACTCATCTTTTTTTTTCCGAAGAAATAATGGCAAGCTAACACAAAATCAAAAGCATAACATTTTGTAACACTTTCCATTGTTTGACATCAGCTTTAGAGTTGGGATCAACATAGAATAAAATAAATATTCATCGCTATCAATTAGCTTTCCCTACTCTCAAGTCTTTCTGGAACTATACCACCCAATACAAAGCACTGTTCAATTTTGTATCAACTATTTACAATTTATGATTCACCAAGAATAAAGTAAAAATTGATAAAAGAAACTCCATTAAAAGGATAAATCCATTACCATGGAAAGACTATGCCCTTTGGAGATCAACTCTCTCAATTCGTTCTCTAGCTTAGACTCTGATGGAGTTTCATCTATGCAAATTGACTTTCCTTCAATCAATAATGTAATTTCTCCCTTTGGCTGGTGTGTTGAGAATGCTTCTTTTGCTTCCTCAAGCGTACCCCGCCAAAACTGGTAAGGCATCATCGTTCATGTTAGTGAATGAGGAATCATTTTAGAACAACCCCACTGATGCTGATATCACAAACAATGCCTTCAATTACAGGTTCATGAAATTCCACAATCACTGGAATCAATTTTCTAAAAGAGTAATAAGCCACACAGACAAAAGTAAGAGAAACGTACCTCTTCATGTATTTTGGTCATCTCTCGGGCAATAACACATCGCCTACAATGGATGCAGGTAAAATGTTAGGAATTGTATGAGTTTAAATTGGTGAAATTTCTTCTCTCCTAATAGTAAATTAAATATCTACGCCAATCAGCTTCTGCATCCAAGGCAGAGTTCTCATGCCAACCACTAGTGTATATAATGAGTACAGGGTATAAACTTCTTGGTCGTTAAATGCTGGTTCAGTTGGTAGAAATCTATGTCAACTTACTCTTTTTTAAAGGAGGAAAATCATCTAATTCAATTCAAAGTGACACAGAGACGTGAAGAAATCCCAAAATAGTGGACAGAAGATCTGGAAAAGAAAAGGAATGAACGTAGATAAGTTGAGGGATATTACGACCCAACACAGAATCAAACATTTAGATCTAGAATACTCAAATGTCAAAAAGTCATTTTATTGAAGAAACCAATTCAACCAAAAAAAGAGAAAGAGAAAAAAATTGTCTACATAACAATGCATTTTGGATTTTATGAACCGAATACAAATTTATAGCCTACACCTTTTGCGATGCTACTCAACCAACAAAGAAAACAATGAACTAGCATAAGTTCTAGATGCCAATTTAACAGGAAAGTTAAAACCAATACCAAAGAAAAATGTCAAAAGAACCTCCCCGATGCACTTGTACACACAACTGACATTCTATTATGATACTATAGATACGAGATTCATACCCTGGCAAGAAATTACCTAGTTTCACCAAAAAGTAAAGAACTTTCTTCAAGAAATCGACAAAGCTTGTGCGGAGGAACAAAGAAGATCTGTGTGGCTGCTTCATTTGCAGAAACAATCAGCCTCTCTCTTCTTAATCCTGCATTTTTAGGGAGAAACCCAACTGCACAAAGACATATCTGATTCAGTACCTTATTGAGACTTTTTTTTTGCCGAAAGTTTATCAGACCAAGTATGAGTATCAATTCATGAGCAACTTACCAAATGTAAATTCATTGATAGTCAAACCAGAGGCTGAAAGAGCAGCTACCAAAGCAGAAGGCCCGGGGATGGGAATTACAGGTATATTTTCATTCACACATAATTTTGCCTACATCAAGATTCCAAAATCAGTTAATTAAGCACACAACAAATAAAATGCAATGGTTAAATTAAACTATTTCCCTTAGCTAACAGAAAATGCATAATACATAATAATCCACAAACATGGACACATTAGTGTGCAAGCACAGAATGTTGTATACGAAAATTCGGAAGCAATTCGCATATGAACCTAGGGAAGCTATTAATTGCTTAAATTACTTTTTCTAGATTGTTTGCAATTATATGTAAACAACATAGTATAGGGAGGGAAAAGTATGTTTCACAACCATGAGGGTATATAATGTTCTCACCAATTCCATACCAGGATCACTGATGCATGGTGTACCTGCATCACTGATCAGTGCCACGATTTCACCATCCTGCAATCTCTTTAATACTGCTTGTTCTCTCTGAGACTCGTTGAATTTATGATAACTCAGCTGAAAATCTAAAGCATACAATTAGGAAAAATACAAAAGCAAGAAACCATTGCCGAACCACAGGAATAGAAGCCACAAAAAAATCTTACGAGCGGAGTTTTAATATTGTAATGCTGAAGCAACTTCGCTGAATGCCTTGTGTCTTCTGAAAGTATCACATCAGCTGATCTCAAGACACGCAAAGCTCTGCATTCATGAGTGATTTACCGAAAAATCAAGCTTATGTTACTGGTAGAAATCATGCCATTCAAGAATAAAAGCAAAAAGAGAATACTACACGATAACCACATATGTGAAAGTTCAATTATTTTTTGTATTCACCAAGTTTCCTACCTTAAAGTTATATCCTCAAGATTCCCAATTGGTGTTCCTACGAGATACAAACCAGGTTTCAAAGGTCCCTGCAATATCAAACACGCAATACCCCAAGTAAAATTCCCATTGATAATATGCTGAAATGCTGTCAAAAGTCGCAGTCTATGAATAAATTCCCCTAAATTTTCATCTTTTCGTCTCATTCATTCATTCATTGATTGTGTACATCACAAAGCCACCAAACCACATAAAGAGCAGTTAAAGATCAAATACTAACAGACAAAATTACAGAGGGATCCAAGTGATGTAATAGAGAGTTGAGTTCACAATAATCTTGAAAATTTCCAAAAACACTAAGTAAGCTTTAGATAATCTTACTTGTTTTGAGGGTTCTTGGGGGTATAGGTTGGTGAGTTCGGTAGAACTATGAGGACTGGAACAGAAGGAAAGCGTAAAACTTTTGGGGCAAAGGGTCGAAGGCAGAGACAGCGAACTGAAAAATGATATCATCGTCTGGGTGAGAATGGTGTTTGGACGTCTGCACCGCCATGGGAATGTAGCAGAGATGGACTCTATCGCCATTGATATTGACTGTGTGCGGCGTACCAACATCATTCCCTCTCGATTTGTTCGTCTCTCTCGGTCATTCACTTTGTTGAGTACTTGGACCGTAATCGACTCAACCTCCGGTCGAAAGTCGGATTCGGGTTGGATTGAAAGTCGGATTCGGGTTGAGTTAGAGTCAAAAATGTTAGAGTTAATTATCTTTTTGGCCCCTAAATTATATCATCTGTGTCAATCAGTCTCTAAATTTCGTTTTATGTTAATTCTGTACCTAAACTATTGCGTCAGTCCTCCCTTCCGTCCAAATTTGACAGAATTCCTCTCGTATACAGTACATGACTCCTAAAATATACCCTAATCCCAATTCATTTAATGTACACATAAGGAATTCCGTCCAAGTTAACCACAATAATGGACAGAAGGACTACAACAAAACAAATGGTATAGTTCAAAAATTAAATTGATACAAAAATATAGTTTAAAAACTTAATTGACACAAATAATATAGTTCAAAGGCTAAATAAGTAGTTAAATTTTATAACTTGGTTGAACTCGAATTGATCCTTTAATCAGTTTAGTCCGTCCAAATTGCAACCCTAAGTCACATAGAGACTTTAGAAATATCTACTTAATTATTGTTATTATGCGCCATTTGCAAATTTTACCCAAAATCACGCTGAATTAACAAATTTATATTTAATCTTAATGAATTTAGCTAGTAAACATGCCGTTACCTTAGTTTAGATCAATTTAATAAAACACAACCCAAATGTATTAATATGACTTATATACAACACAAATTTAATACGATACAAACTTGATAGTAGACTAATATAAATAAATTTGACATAAATTGAAAATTTTTTAAAACAAATATAATTTAGACCCACCATATCCGATACAATTTATTGTCAACTCTATCGACCACTAGAACTCATAACCACCCTCTCATATAGTACATAATCACCTTCATGATCCAAAATAGAACATATTTTATCTTTTTTGTTATTTTTTTATTTGATGGTTACGCCCAATACTTACTCGTTGAGAAGATAATGTTTTTGAGCGAAAAAAAAAATTAAAAATAAATTTTACACCAATAGATCAATCTAAACTGATATTGTGCTTTTATAAATTAAGAATTCAACTTATTAGCTATAATATTAGATAGATTATGGAGAAATTCACTTGTACACAAAGCCTCATTTGAATCTAGAAAATCTATCATCACTAAAAAATGATAAAAATATAATATAAGGATAGAAATCAGAGACTTTACAACATAATACATCCAATGTAGAGGGCTTCCCATTCTCAACCGAAGCTGCATAAAACCCTATCAGCCCAAGGCATAATATTCAATAGAAGATGCATCAAAACATTACTGACTCATCCCACAATCAAAACCATGGTTAAATGGCTGACGGATTAAATTGCTACACAACTTACATACACCACTGACCAATGATGTTCTCCCCTTATGTTTATATTTACAACCTTAAGATAAGTAAGTTGGGCTTAAACCAGGAAAAGTTGCAACACCACACAGCAAAACAGGATGAGAATAGGAAAGTTGATTTGCTGCCTTATAGCAGCTTTTATATACTTGTCTCATGACCCACAGTAGTTAAAAGTGTTTCACATGTAAAATTTTTCTTGTTTTTCCTGCTATTTTTCGAAGTAAAGACATCTTCCTTGACACAAATGTGCCCACACGGACAAGGTGATGTTACACCCCCCATGTGACAATGATCCAATTTCATCATTACACTTTATCATCATGGAACCACCATCTCGTCTCCTTCGGGGATCTGCCATTCCTACAGTTCTTTACGTATCGATCGTTGTCTGTTGGACGTTGCTGTGCACACATGAAAAAAAATGGTAAGAGTGTTGTACACCGACTCACTCAAATGCACGGACACATAAGCATATGCACGTATGCATACACACATTCACAGAGGAGGGAGAGAGGTGGTGTTAAATCTTAAATTTTAGCAACATAAAATCAAACCTTAACAGTGGAGCTTGATAACATGGAGAGAATACTGATGCAGATGGAACTGACTGTCATGGCTGGGGACCAAGAATCATACAAGATATCTGTAAAGGTAGACAGGAGATAACCATATCAGACATGTAAGCCCACATATTGTAAATACATTTGTGAGATAGAATGAAATAAAACATGGAACCCGAGAGTGCTCTTCTTCATATTTTTATTTTTCTCCAATTTCCAACTGTCCAAAAACATTGTTACGAAGTGCATAGTTAGACAGAAACAAGTGAAATAATAACCACTGTAGGCAGAAGCGGAGACTGGATCGCAACAGACAGGAACTAAGCAATCTTTTTCTTGTTTTGTGTTCACTGTGCTAAGGTTTTTACTTTTTAGTTTGGGTGTGCAACTACATATCCATGCCTTAGTTTGTGTGGGTGTTCTGCTTGATAGTGCAAAACATATCCCAATCACACTCCTCACACCTAAAAGGTTTCTTCAACATTATCTCCTCCCAAGGCACCCCATTGTAACCTCAGCCAAATAGAGTATTTACTATTTCTCCAAAAATTAAGGGCTTAGAAATTCTTCTTCCCTCCTATACGTACATTTGAAAAGTCCCATTTTTTGTTCGCTTTTTAAGTATCACTTAGATAGTACAATCTACATTTGGTCAGGCATATAAATGCAATTATATGCACATCCAATCAGACATTGAAAATGAAATCTCTTCAGACTACATCTTGCTTGGTTTAACAAGTACGAAACAAAGTTGACATAAAAAAGGAAAACAAACAAAAGAAAAAGGAAAAAGAAAGTAGGCAGCGAAGTGGGTGAAGATGGCCTTTGCAGAAATATCATACCTTAAATTAGGGAACAATACATCCTAACAACATTTATAGGGAACTAAAGAATTTTTCAGTTAAACTACATAATCGATGGAATGTCAGAAAATCAAAGTAAGTTAATATTACCTGTCAATCCAAATGAAACTTAACAAAAGTAGCATTACTCTCAGATATTCCCTTTTCTAGTGTTAAAATTCCACTTGGAAGACATATACTTCAATGAAGGAACAATTGAGGCAACCCCCCATGAATTCAAGGCAGAAGCACTACTCACAGACGGAGTGTGTGATTTAATTCTATAATATATAACTGTCTATGCTGAAAGTTGTATGCACTACATGTCTCAACAAATTATGTACAAAGAAACAACGTGAATGTTTCATTCTTATGCATCCTATAGCTATATATTGTGTGTTTGCAAAGCAATGCCCAGCTCATGGCCGGGGCTGGCATGTTGGCCTGACTACTGCACCTGGGGGTATACAGGAAAACCCATCCTCCTCATCTCATGTGGTTTTAAGTCCATGTGCTTGGCTGCACCTTGAAACAAGCAGGGCCACCATGTCCAATGCACAAGGAGGAATCCCAAAGCAAGGTAGGATAGCAGGTGCAGCACCATGGCTTGATTTGCTTGCATGATGACAGCACACCCGAGTGCATGGTCACAAGCCAGTCAAGGACAGCAGGACATGGCATGCCCATGAAAATGCCTCGGCCAAGATGAAAACAATGAACATGCCCCAGCCAAGATTGGAATTGCATTAACTTGTCAGCCTATATATCTCACAAAATTTTGTAAAATAGATCATCATATACATCTAAAACAATTACACCACAAGAGAGTCAATATTAACGTGTGAGTTATTGTTTTGGGAAGTAAACATGAACAAGAAATGTTGTCGATTATTGCTTTGGGAAATAAAAACGCAATGAGCTAAACATGAAATTACAATATAATGGTATAAATATGTGTGCAAAAATAAAGCAAGGGGAATGCAATTCATTTACAATTAGACCTAACACAAGGTAACAAGACAAACCTAAACAGATATGGCCATTGCTATAAATATGAGGGTGAAGTGGAGCTGGAGGGATAAAAACAACCTGTCCAAAAAAATAAAATAAACAGAATACAGATTATAATCAAATAGAACAACCGTCAAACAACCCAAAATAGTAAATGGTAAAACAGTTACAGATATAATAAAAGGGAACAACTCTCATATAACAACTAACCAACAAAACCAAGTCTTATGTCCCAATTATTTGGGGTCGATTATATGAGTTCGTCGTCGCCATTCATTTCGGTCATCTGTTATATGTTGATTTAAGTTAAATATTTTCATATATTTTCTTAATACTTCGTCCAATGTTAATTTAGGTCTATCCCTACTCCTAGTACCATTAAGAAATATTCTATAATTATTTCTCACCGGTGCCTCTATCGGCCTCCGTTGAACATGCCCAACCATCTTAATCTATTCTCTATCAACTTATCCTAAATTGAAACTACTCTAACCATTTCTCTAATACGGCCATTTTGTATTCTATTCTTTCTAGTTTTTTCACACATCCACGTTAACATTCTCATTTCCGCTACACTCATTTTATCACTATATTGTTTCCTAATTGCCCAATATTCTGTCCCATACAGTTTAATAGGTGGAAAAAAACAGACACTTCCACCCAAAAAAATATAAAGCATCATACGCCTTATTCAAAGTGGCATTTATTCTTCTCAATCTTCAGCAAAGACAGCAAGCATTACACCATTAATTTTTACTTTCCTTTTCTTCTGCTTTCTTTCCTTGAGTTCTTTTTTTTTTTTTTTCTCTCAGCAACAAAACAAAGGGAAACAATATCACAAATTCGGATTAACTATTCACCTGCGGTGCTTCCATAGGGTAATGTTCAGGAAAATCAACCTGCAGCTGGTAAATTTCGTTAGCATACAAAGTCCCCGGTGCTCCGTTGACTTCAATTACCCATCTTTACACCGAAATTAAACCAAATTAAAGAACAATTAGCAATTAAACCTTTCTTAATTTAATAATCACACACAAGAATAATATAATTTAAGTCCAAGGAAGACAAAGCAAAGTGAGAACCTTTGGAGATTATCAGTAACTTTGTGTTTGAATCCAGCAGGAGGATTAACCTGCCATTCCATAAGCTCTTTCTGTAGCCTATTGCAGGCGATCTTGCTCAAAGCCTATATTCACAATCCGAGTCGATCGACAAAATGAAAAACGACAAATTCCACAAAATACAAAATCCGCTATACATGTATTAAGTGTATCAAGAGAGAGAGAACCTTGCGAGAAGAAGCGGAGGGACTGGTCATGGCTTCTTGCACGATTTCTGGAGACAAGAGAGAGAGGGCAAGGTCAAGTGATTGATGGGGGAAAACATTAGTGCACTCAGATTGTTTATAGTCAAAAGCAGAACCTAAATCAACGGTCAGTGATTCGGTGATAATGGCGGGGAATGCAATGTGGGGCTCACACGGATGATTGCCACGTGCAAAACTTTCACGTGGCAAAAAAATCTAACATCATCGAATTACATTTTAACCTTAAATATTTTCAAAACTTTTATTTCTTCTCTTGGAAGATTAAAAATTACACATTATGATCTGAATTTGTTTTTTTTTTTTTGACCACTTTCCACAATTAATTGTTCCAAGTATACCCCAAAAAGAACACTCTCTTTTGAAAAATTCAGAGCAGAATTTAAACTTTTAAATTTAGAAAGGATGTAAAATTAGAATTTATATCAAACGATAAATACTAAAGAAAATTGAACCCGAACATTAAACCTAAATCGATCCTTCTCCCAACAAATAGAACAATATCNGGATTAACTATTCACCTGCGGTGCTTCCATAGGGTAATGTTCAGGAAAATCAACCTGCAGCTGGTAAATTTCGTTAGCATACAAAGTCCCCGGTGCTCCGTTGACTTCAATTACCCATCTTTACACCGAAATTAAACCAAATTAAAGAACAATTAGCAATTAAACCTTTCTTAATTTAATAATCACACACAAGAATAATATAATTTAAGTCCAAGGAAGACAAAGCAAAGTGAGAACCTTTGGAGATTATCAGTAACTTTGTGTTTGAATCCAGCAGGAGGATTAACCTGCCATTCCATAAGCTCTTTCTGTAGCCTATTGCAGGCGATCTTGCTCAAAGCCTATATTCACAATCCGAGTCGATCGACAAAATGAAAAACGACAAATTCCACAAAATACAAAATCCGCTATACATGTATTAAGTGTATCAAGAGAGAGAGAACCTTGCGAGAAGAAGCGGAGGGACTGGTCATGGCTTCTTGCACGATTTCTGGAGACAAGAGAGAGAGGGCAAGGTCAAGTGATTGATGGGGGAAAACATTAGTGCACTCAGATTGTTTATAGTCAAAAGCAGAACCTAAATCAACGGTCAGTGATTCGGTGATAATGGCGGGGAATGCAATGTGGGGCTCACACGGATGATTGCCACGTGCAAAACTTTCACGTGGCAAAAAAATCTAACATCATCGAATTACATTTTAACCTTAAATATTTTCAAAACTTTTATTTCTTCTCTTGGAAGATTAAAAATTACACATTATGATCTGAATTTGTTTTTTTTTTTTTGACCACTTTCCACAATTAATTGTTCCAAGTATACCCCAAAAAGAACACTCTCTTTTGAAAAATTCAGAGCAGAATTTAAACTTTTAAATTTAGAAAGGATGTAAAATTAGAATTTATATCAAACGATAAATACTAAAGAAAATTGAACCCGAACATTAAACCTAAATCGATCCTTCTCCCAACAAATAGAACAATATCGAAATAGATATCGGAGTAGTTTTTTTGGGATAGTTTTTTCTTTTTTCAACGATTAGGAGTGTCTAAATCAACTTATGCACACTTTGACTAATCTCGTATCCAATTTGGTTTAAGGTAGACCATCTGTATTGGAATTAAAATATTTATAAGGGATAAATCTTTCATACTCTGGCCTCAAGGAATTACCAATATTCGAACTCATAACGTTTAAATTTACAACTCATCTTTATTATCACTTAAATTATCCCTCGAACATTTTGGACAATTTTTTACGGCATTCCAACCAAATGGTAGGGCATGTGATGATGTTGAGCTCCAAAAGATGTGTTTAGAAAAGAAAGGTGATTAGACAACATTGCAATGAGTTGCAAGTTGCAGAACATTTAGGCAAATAGAGCCTCGTTTGAGGGCCCTTTTGGGGGTGGAAGGGTGTCCAGCATTTATATATATATCCACTATAAGGGATAGCATCGAACATTTATATCCAGTGCTGGGCCCTTTTGTTTGGCATCTGAACTAATGGACCAACTGTTATTCCACCGGATGGCATAATTTTATTGATTCTTATGCTCTATACCACTACAAACACAATAATAATTCTCTCTCTCTCTCTTGATCGATAAAAAAAGAGAACTCATTTAACTATCCACGCATACACGCAACATTCTACATAACACACATTGCAGGAGAGAGTTGTGGGTGGCAATTAACTATGTAACAACACTTATGCTCCATTTAGTAGGAATGATGAAAAGTGGGAGGGATACACTTTTTATTCTTTAAGGAAGAAAAATAGGAATGATACATTTTTCTTCCTTTATGTTTGATTGGATTGATGAAAAATAAAAATAACTAAATTTTATTTATTTTTTTGTACTTGCTAAGATTAGGGGTGACAATCGAGTTGAGTCGTGTCAAATTCGTGTTGAATCATTATGGGTTTGTGTCGAACATTAGTCAAACCTAACTCAACTCATTTAACTAATTGTGTTGTGTCAAATTGCGAATTAACCTGTTTATTTTCGTGTCATATTCGTATTTGTATTCATGTTGACCCACATAAACTTTGAATAAAAATTTGGAGCTAATATTCTATTTTCACTTAATTGAATCTATTTTAATATTTTTTTCTACAAACTAAAAATTAATTTAAATAAATATTATAATAAATAAGTAAAAATATTTTATATATATATAATAATTATGTCAGTGTTTAATAAATAGTTACAAATAATTAACATTTTATATTTATAATACTAGTTAAACATGTTAGTTTCGTGTTAATTTCGTATTAATTTTGTGTTCTCATACAAACGAGAAAATAGAAAAAGTGTTTATTTTTAAATAAACAGGATGTTGGTGTCAATTTTGAGTTTCATTGGTTAAACTGAATATAAGTTTTTTGTATTTCTTGTTCGCGTGTTAGATCATTTTCAAGTTCGTATCGCGTTATAATCAAGTTCGTATTATAAAATTCGTGTCAAATTCGAGTCATGTCATCGTGTTAAATTAAAAATTGTCACCCCTTCTTATTGTTTTTCCTTACCAAACATGATGTTTTATTTATCCCTTAAACTTTTCATCCTTTCAACTTTCTATTTTTTCATTTTTCCATCATACCAAACAGAACATTAGAGAAAAATGTATCTAGGATCGAAAAGAATTTTGAATCAGACGTTTCTTGGCCTATTTTCCCGAGAATAATGTCGTAAATCAAACATTCCTATATTCAATCACCGATTTCCATATATATCTCGTTGCAACTAATGTCTTTAGTTTTCTATAACTGACCAAAACTAACATTTTTAGGAGTATTTTTGAGATTAAAAAAAAAAGTGGACTTAACTACTTACTAATAAGATTATAAACGGACTTACCCTCAAATAAATTTCATTGACGGACTCAAATCATTATAAATCTATATAGTAGGACACAATCCCTATTTTCACTATATAAATACAATCATTATATAACTGGCCGTAGGCAAGGCCCATTAATAAAAAAGGGGTAATTTGAAAGCCGATATAAAAATTTGAATTTATTTGAGCCAAATTACATTAAAGAAATTTATTTGGCTCTAAGTGCATTTTTAAAACAAAAAAAAAGATTAAAAGGTCATTTGTTACTCCATTACTCTCTCTCTTCTCTCTCTATTACTCTCTCACTCTCTCTTCCCTATTTTCTCTCTATCTATTTCTCTCTTTCTCTCACATTGATAATTTATTTATTTTCAAATATGTAAAGATTTGATTTAATTTTTNCAGTGTTTAATAAATAGTTACAAATAATTAACATTTTATATTTATAATACTAGTTAAACATGTTAGTTTCGTGTTAATTTCGTATTAATTTTGTGTTCTCATACAAACGAGAAAATAGAAAAAGTGTTTATTTTTAAATAAACAGGATGTTGGTGTCAATTTTGAGTTTCATTGGTTAAACTGAATATAAGTTTTTTGTATTTCTTGTTCGCGTGTTAGATCATTTTCAAGTTCGTATCGCGTTATAATCAAGTTCGTATTATAAAATTCGTGTCAAATTCGAGTCATGTCATCGTGTTAAATTAAAAATTGTCACCCCTTCTTATTGTTTTTCCTTACCAAACATGATGTTTTATTTATCCCTTAAACTTTTCATCCTTTCAACTTTCTATTTTTTCATTTTTCCATCATACCAAACAGAACATTAGAGAAAAATGTATCTAGGATCGAAAAGAATTTTGAATCAGACGTTTCTTGGCCTATTTTCCCGAGAATAATGTCGTAAATCAAACATTCCTATATTCAATCACCGATTTCCATATATATCTCGTTGCAACTAATGTCTTTAGTTTTCTATAACTGACCAAAACTAACATTTTTAGGAGTATTTTTGAGATTAAAAAAAAAAGTGGACTTAACTACTTACTAATAAGATTATAAACGGACTTACCCTCAAATAAATTTCATTGACGGACTCAAATCATTATAAATCTATATAGTAGGACACAATCCCTATTTTCACTATATAAATACAATCATTATATAACTGGCCGTAGGCAAGGCCCATTAATAAAAAAGGGGTAATTTGAAAGCCGATATAAAAATTTGAATTTATTTGAGCCAAATTACATTAAAGAAATTTATTTGGCTCTAAGTGCATTTTTAAAACAAAAAAAAAGATTAAAAGGTCATTTGTTACTCCATTACTCTCTCTCTTCTCTCTCTATTACTCTCTCACTCTCTCTTCCCTATTTTCTCTCTATCTATTTCTCTCTTTCTCTCACATTGATAATTTATTTATTTTCAAATATGTAAAGATTTGATTTAATTTTTCATCTCTCTGTCTCCTTCTCCCCTTATTTCTTTATTCTCTCTCTCTCTCTCTCTCCTTATATCAACGTTACAATAATACAATTATACCAATTAGTTACAATTACCCTATAATGTATTAAATAGTTATTCATGTGTTCTAATAAACTAAACAATTACACTAAATAATTAAATAAAATTACAACACTAACTTAATTTGTCATTCAGTTATTTACATAAATCAAAGAGTTACACCATTTAATATCACGACATGGTTACACCAAATTGGGTTTATCATTACACAAAAGACTTTACTATTATAATAAATTTGATATATATAATTGGTGTAACCATGTCATGATACTAAATGGTGCAACTATTTAGTTTATGTAAACAACTGAATGATAAATTGGATTGGTCTCATAATTTTGTATAATTGTTTGGTGTAACTATTTGATTTATTAGAACACATGAGTAATTATTTTGTGTATTATAGGACAATTGTAACTAATTAATGTAACTGTATTATTATAATGTTGCTATTAAGAGCGATAAAATAGGGTTTGAGAAATTGAGAAAACAGGGGGGGAAAGATGAAAAAATAAATCAAATCTTTTCATATTTGAAAAAGAAAATAAATTATTAATAATAGATAGAGAGAGAAAATAGGAAAGAGATAGAGAGAGTAACGGGAGAGAGAGAGAGATAGAGAGAAAATATAGGAGAGTTAGTGAGAGAGTAATGGAGAGAGAGGGATAGAAAGAGAGATTGAGAGAAAATAGGGGAGAGAGAGATGGAGAGAATAAAAATTATACATAATTTAAGGAATAGTAAGTAAGTAAAAAATTTTAAATATTATTTGAATTTTTTACCTAATCACAAGAAATTTTATTAAAATTAAACTTAATAGAATAAAATATTTATCCATATCCTTTCTTTCAAATAAGTCTAAAAAAATTGGCATACATTTTCAAAATTTGGGTTACTAGAAATAGGAATACTATGATTGGCAAGGAATAGGCAGAAAATTAGAGCACACCAGCTTGGACTAGGTTGGTTCTGAATTTGGGCCAAGTTCTTACAGCCCAAACAAAGCCCTAGGTTTTTTCTCTCGGCCGAAGATTAACGGATCCGGCTCCTCTGCTGTTCGGGAGGAACAGCAGGCCTTGCTGTTCTTAAAACGGCACCGTTTGGTGCCT